TACATTAAACACTCACAGGAAAACAGACTTAAAACTGCCCTTTCCCGAAAAATGTGCGACGGTAAAATTTAATGCTGTATAATATGATTAGTTTTGAGTTAAGATTGGAGAAGGAGGTGATAATGCTGTCAAGGTGGAAAATTCATCCATTGTTTGCATAATGAGCCTCTTTCTGGATTCAATATGGCTGACGCTTGAATAAGGTCTTTTGTCTTCAGAATTAGGAGGGTGGGGGTAATTAGCGATTGCTTCTTTGCTACGCTGCAAAACATACATATAGCAATCATATCTATTGACTCAAATGACTTTTTTTACTCTTCCTAATAGAAGATTTATTTAAAAACTTACTTAAAAGTTATTATGACTTATTGGTAACTTATATTTCAATAGAATGAGTCATTGAGTGATCATACTATCATAACCCCATTTGATTCTAATTAATATGTGTAATTCACTGCTTCACATTATAATCCTGGTGAAATATCACAGTATTTCCTGATTGTCTACTTAAAACCACACCTGACTTATTACGTCAATTGAAAGGTAACTCAGTATTTAGGCCAATGGCATACCATGTGCTATTTATTTACTGTACAGATTTGATATTTTATTAATATTTACCAAACATATAAAATACAGATGTAATTATATTGATCAAAAGTCTGCATGCAATGTGCAGGGGACTTAACCCCAAAAACTTAACTTAAGATGATTAAAGAATTTTCTAGTCATCCGATTGGACAATCGATATAAACAGTTTCTAATCATTATCCAATCAGATATCTGTATTTCTTGAACTGGATTTTATCGTTGTTACGAGAATAAAGCCTAAGGCTGTTAAAGCATCATTTATCAAAAAGTGGTAACCTTCACCGATTCAGCAATAAAAATATTGCATTGATAAATTGTATGTTAAATGTTATGATGATATTTTATGTGATTAGTGTGTTAGTGTTTAATGACTACACATGATCAAATGACAGAGCTTTATGTCAATTCATCATAAATGTTTGAAATGGTATTTTCTAACCTTCATTTCTAGAGGTTTCATTTCCAGGTTGAGATCTGGACTTAAAGGCAAGAGGTGACTTATTATTTCTTATAGAACAAGAAACTATGAGAGTATTTTTAAATGTTTATGGTTTGGTGTAATACGAGATATGAAGAGTCGGCAACCAAAATTTTTCTTAAAGAGTGGACATGTTGTACACGAATTATATTACTTTGGAGATCTCATTTTGCAAAATGTACTTGATGTGCGCATATTTGTATGTTTTGAATATATGTATATTTACTTTACTCTGATGTAGTATGAAAAGTCTCCAAGCTGAAATTCTCTGAAAACTTCTTAGCAACCAAATAACACACATTTCACTTTAAGTCCAATCTTAGTGTTACTGATTCTTTTAGGTTGATTAGATAATCTATTATAGAGCTCTTGACAGCACCAGAAATCATGACAGTTGCCATGTTTCTTTCTGTGTGAATATTATCATTTCATTACATCAAATGGACTTTGGACTGTGTACTAAATTACATTAACCAGTTTATCTATCTGACATTGACCCAGTAAAAACAGTAATAAGGCTTTTGACCTGTTAAAAAAAGGGGTTCATTTTGACTACTTTAAGTTTATTACTGTAGTGGTTAATTATCCACGTTGACCATTCATAACTACATATCTATACAACTTGGGTGAAGAATTGAGAGGCCTGCAAGCTCCAATATGTTTGATTCAATTTCTGTGAATGATTCATTAATTTGAAGCTCATCGATATTGTAAACATCTTACAGCTTTATTAAAAATCAGTAAGTTTTGAAGCCTACTAAGAGAAGATAAGTGACTTTCACATTTTTGAAAATTTCAGTTATTGTGCTATATGCATCAAATTTTTTGTCTTCATTGGTTTTTACGTTGTTTTGACTAATGAGGACAGGCAAATCCATGCAATGTGCAATGAAGTTTTGCCAGGTTACTCTTGTTTCACTTTCCAACTGTTGAAGGATCTTTATACATGCACAACTTGTAGCACACAGGTGTTCATCTCAAGGATTAGACACCATTTCTACCCCCTCTTCACTGGCTGAAAGGCTTAAAGACCTTCATTGTTTTCATTTATGCAAAGCCATTAAGCTAGTCAGTAAGTCGACACTTGATTGTAGGTTTAGAGGTTTTGTCAGCAACTTATCATCAAAATAAATCAAAACAACAAATGTTAGTACTAGAACAGTAGTTTGGCTTTCCCTTTGACATAGATATAGGTCAGCGATCCACTGTTCTAGCTTAGCATTGGCTGTCTTGATTAGATCATAGGGTGCAGATTAGCACATTTTAATTTCATTGGTGCAGAAGAAAATGCGGTGAAATATATTACGACTTTACATGTGAAATAATGAGAAGATCAGCTGGTTGAATATCCTGGTTTGTAATAGAAAGATCTATAAAGGAGTGATGTACAGTGGGATTGGTATAATGGTTATTGAGTTTATTTCAATCATAAATACATTATAATATAAACATTGATACACCCTTAACACTTATCACTTTATCTTTTTTTAAAATATCAAATTTGTATTTAATGCTTTCATGTTACACAGACTTCTTTTATTTTGATAATGGCAATACCATCTATCTGTTGAAGTGTATGAATGGCATATTTATTCTTTAATATGATTGGACAAAAGTGCATCTGAAAAGAAAGTTGTGTGGTCTGAATGAATTACGTAGGATTTAAACAATGGAATTCGTGGGGACTTTTATAATGCACATCAGTTTCATGAAGTCTATAAAAGAATAAGAAAGAGGGTTTTACTCATACAACCTCTGACTGTGATTTGAGGTGAATTATGGGTATAGGTTAACAGTCAAGAGACGATCAACAACATCAGGTATGTCAATAAGAGGACAGTTGATCTTGAGACACAATAGATATGAAAACTAATATGACAAATTAAGTTACTCTTCATTCAATTTCACCTTAATGAAAGTTGATTCTCATCTGGTCTCTTATAATAATTTTTAAAAGGTAAAAGACCCCCATCTTTTGAGGATTTCTCACAACCTCCATCTCAATCACACCCAGTAATGCAATATTGAACAAATCTTTATTCACTTGCTGATAAACATATATACACTAATAAATTCAGTTTGTGTCTTGTTTTTTGTATTGAACTTTCAATTCAAATGAATTTTATGAAAAAATTATATATGACCTTTGGCCTTTAAGTTCACCTCTTATGAAGGTCAAGATTTTGTGGGTTGTGGATAAGACATGTAAAAGAAGATGTAAATTATTTTTATTAATAATACTTGAGGGATGTTTTTTATGTGTTGATTATCTTGAAATAAAATAACAGCCCTTGGGTGGCCACGACATTAACATAATTAATTAAGTAATATATCGTTATTATTGATTTTTAATTGATGTGTACTAATCTATGTTGTGTCCAGTACTATTTTCGTATTTATTTTGATATACAGTATTGATTTATTGATAAAAACATAAATAATTTAGTTCAGTAAAATCAACCTGTGAAATCTTGAAAATTCTTTGATATAGCTCTTTAAAACGTGTATAATTCTACCATCATAATATATATCTGATATAAGCCTTAGAAACAGCCATTGCTATGTGACATCATCAGCTTCAAGTAATATAAGCTTATAACCAGAAGTTCAGTTGTTGTTTTGACTCTCAGTATTCAAAGGGTTAATTTTCATTGTAAATCAACGCATACATTATTTATACATACATGTTAAACATGATATCAGCATTAAAGTTTACTCAGAGCCTCCAACAATATGTCATGTCAGTGTTTAAGGGACATTTTTTTGACCATTCATACTTAAGTCTCAGAAACAGGAATATTTCAGCTGAGCCAATCAATAGCCTAATAGTGTTCACAGCCTTCAAATGCATGTGTGTTCAGAATTATCCGCGTTTGAATGTTAAAAAGGTAAGTGGTCTGTTTTAGAGACACTACCATATATAGAAAAGACATCTATAGAAATAGGAAAAAAGAAATTCCTAGTTTGAGATATTTTTGAACTAATTATGCAATTTTCATGAAGACTATTTTCATATATTCAAGACTCAACCCCCAAAATGGCACATCTGTCCCTTTAAGCAAATCATCAGATCCGAGTCAACACTGGTGTTAAGACTTGTAAATCTCTGTTACTGATCCATATATTGACCTTTAGATACCAACTATAAAAGAGCTTTAACCTACACCAACACCAATGTAAGATCTGTTCCTTGATTACAATGCCACATTATGGTAAAGCAAACGATCTAGATCTACTTTTTAATCAGATTTGTGTCTTTCGTACAATTTCTCTTGTAAAATCCCTTGTGTTATTGACTTTTGTTTCCAACCAACTTGTCTGGCATTTGGCATTTCAGCTATTATCTCTAGATATACTGTTGCCATTTTAAAAGTTTATCTGACAGACATTTACACAACATTTGGTCAATTAGATTTTCTTAAAAATTACCTTAATATATTTTGACATAAAATACAGTCAGATTAACCTTCTGCAAATTATTTTATTTTATACACCAACATCTCCCTGTGGATGTAAATTTGGCAGCCATGTTGATACATTCATTCATATTTGCTTTGAATAGCTATACTATCAATGAATCAACAAATATTGATGAAACTTGTGATTGTGTATCTAAAATAAATTGAAGATCAAGTTTGAATTTTAATGAAGAAGAGTTATTGCCCTTGTTGTCAAATAACACAAATCCATTGCTCCGCTACTTTTCTTTCTTAATGCCTATATGTCTGTACTTCTTCTTTCATGATATTGCTTTTACGTGCAATGACGTAACAACCCCTAATTCTTGAATCTAATGACTAATTTTATTATATAACAAGGTACACCAAAGAAAAATTAGCGACTGTTGATTTTACAATATACATGTTATTTGAAAAGCGCTTGAATTTTAATAACATGCTTTCTGATTTCACGTAATATTTTATTTTTCAGAAACACAGAGAAACGTAAGGAAAAGTCAAGAGATGCAGCAAGATGTAGGAGAAGTAAAGAAACTGAGGTTTATAGTGATTTATCACAAAACCTCCCTCTTCCTCAAAATATTTCGAATCAATTGGATAAAGCATCAATCATGAGATTATCTATAAGTTATCTTAATGTCTGTAATATACTGGATTTCAAACAACGTAAAGGTAAGACGTCTGTTTTTTTGTCCCTAACATGGAGGGTCCTGAAGTGCCTTGCGATGGGCATTTTAATTAACTGCAACTCTATTTTCCATCTGTTAATCTTTTAAATTTGATGACATCCATCTATAAGTAATTTATATGTATCTGTATTTAAGAATAACTGTCTACAATTTTTATGATGGTTAAGTTCTTCATGAACCAGCATTTTAGAACATTCCTCAAACAATACCAACATACCATAAATTTCATTATAGAAGTATATGATAATGAAAAACACACAGGAAGAAACCACAGTAAAATATGTAATATATGTATTTATATAATCTAAAAAATCATGCTTGGCTGCCCTGAAAAAGTTCCACCATAAAGTGTTAATGTACAGTGAGAAAAAGAATAGGTTAAATTTAGCTTCTATTCATTGAGTTTGTCAGTTTAAGCAATGGTTGATCACACTGTGTGATAGAATAGAAATTGTTGGCATGTTCACAGCTTGTGATCAATTTTTTGTCATCAACTTCATGTAAGGAAGACCCAATCATTTACAGAGCTCAGACATCTTTATCTTGAAAAAATGCTCTTCCTCAATATTAAATTAAACTCATTAAAGATCCTTGCCAATGTTTTGCAAAGGATTATTAAATTATATATAAGATCTTTCCAAACCTCAAGTTATTTAATTTTGTTCTTTCTGAAATTTCCTACAGAATCATTTTTAGCTTCAGGTCATGTATATTTCATATAGGATTTACAAGATATCATAGAGAACAATGCTAGTTTTTTTTATACAAAATCAATAGTTTAATTTCACCATAGTGAAGTGACTTTTCTTGTTCAATAGAGATTTAAAAAGCTTCACTGTTTCAAAACAATAAGAATGACCCTTGTGAATTTGAAATATAAACATTTTATATAAGGCCAGAGAAAACTTGACAGGAAATTGAAATTATGATACAATATTAGAGAAGAACAATTGTGAGTTAAAACTTATCCATGAAAGAGCTTAACCTTTTAAATATTCTCTAGTTAATGTTGATTCAGTCAGTTTCAACTAGGCAAATGACTTTTCAGAAGTGATTTCAGTTGAAACATGACAAATCACAGGATCTAATCAATTCCATCCCAGGTGACAACTGTGACGTCAACAAATTATGAAATCAAGAATTCAAAGCTGTCAGGTCAAAAAGCATATCGAGATATCGCAAAAAAGCAGATCTTAAACCTCTGATTTTAAATTAATTGATCAGTCGTTGAAATCCTCATATTCCCAATTTCAAAATCAACTTCAAAAATGCCATTACTCTTTCAAAAGTTATTTTATTTATTGGGACTGACTGACATAAGATGAGCAATAAATACTTGCAGATGCAAGTCAGGAATTGAAAGGGAATCTTGAAAAGAAGTTGTATTGAATTGTTTATTTTGAAAATAGCAAAAAAATAGCCAAGATTTTAAAAATGTGTTAACAATATCCTTTACTGTTGTTGAAATTGGGTGGCAACCAAGTATTAAATTATGATACAGTTTATCAAAAAATTATTTTATCGCCCCAAGGAAATCTAAGATTTATGACATTTTAATTTGTTAACACTTTCAAATATCAATTGGATGATTACACCAATTTCCTTATTTCATAAATGTATTCAGACATATCCAATTTTTACACATACCACATTTTTCAGAGGCATCAGTTCCTCTTATCAATTTCTCTAAGTTTCTATGATATGCCTTAGATAAAATCGCCAAGAGATCAAACTTTTTTCAAGGTCATCAAACTGAACATGTGGCATGGTAACAAAGTTACGAAATTGGTCATGAGAAAGCATTGTTTATAGTATTCCCTTGGTCTGACTATTTTTATCTACAATGTTTGGTATTTGTTTGTATCTGTTGCTACTATTTATAATCTGCAGTCTTACATCATTTTAACCTTGATCACGCTACCAGGCAATGCAACTGTATTAGTTTGTTAGTCCGAGAAGGAAAAGAAATTCTAAAAGCATGCTTGGTGCAGAGTCAAGACTCCATTCCTTCTAACTAGATCAAAACTGTGCTGGACTTAGGATCATTAAACTAATCAAGTATGAGATGAAATTTGGTTTAATTGGTTTAATTAATTGTTTGGTTATGCACTCAGTTGATCATAACAATTCCAACAAGATCTAAACTATAACAATTTAGAGCCTTTTCACTACAAAATAACAAAATCATAACAATTCCACCAAGATCTAAACTATAACAATTTAGAGCCTTTTCACTACAAAATAACAAAATCATAGAAATTCCAACAAGATCTAAACTATAACAATTTAGAGCCTTTTCACTACAAAATAACAAAATCATAGCAATTCCAACAAGATCTAAACTATAACAATTTAGAGCCTTTTCACTACAAAATAACAAAATCATAGCAATTCCAACAAGATCTAAACTATAACAATTTAGAGCCTTTTCACTACAAAATAACAAAATCATAACAATTCCAACAAGATCTGAACTATAACAATTTATAGCCCTTTCACTACAAAATAACAAAATTATAACTGAACATTTGAACAGAGTGGACATTAATAAGCAGTTAAATAAATTAAGGACACTATCAGTCTCTTTTGCTTCATTTTTCCCTGCAGTTGTACACAATTGTCAAAAACTTATCTCATCTGAAACTGTTCCCTTGATTGTACATAAACATTTTGAGTTAAAATGACCATTGATCTTCTATATAATATATAAATGATTTCTGATCAGAGTTTGTGGATTACACAAGCTAGTTTAGAATATTTTATTTCACAAGGCAGGTATCGTGAGAATTCTTGTTTCTACCCATTGACCTACATTGGCTTCCTTTCAAATCGTGAACATTGGCATGCAATTGTAAATACTTTATGGTATGACGTAAGGACAAACTGGAGGTAAATCAACATATACACAATTTCATCATATAATATTGTGAAATCTGTCAGTGGAACGTGTTACCACGGACACCACCATTTTATACATCTAGTCAATCAAACATGGCATCAATTAACAGTTATTATTAATTAGTTCAATCCAGTTGACATTCAAGTTAACTTTTTCTATTTTGACAACTATATATAGAATAAAGGTTATATTGTATCATATATTATATATTACCCTACTTTAATGTATATTGAACAAACTAGGGAACATTTTTTTTGCAAATTAAAGCATACGATTCTTTTTATCTATTGCCTGAGTTTGAATCTATTTTATTAAATTCACTGAAGCCACTTATAAAATTGCTGAAATCAACAAATACACATCTACTGTAACAAACGACCAAACTGAAAGTATAAAACAGGGTGAAAATAGGTACAGTGGACTCTATGAAATCAGACTTCCAACGGGCCTGTAACAATGTGAGAGGGTGTTAAAGTACAGGTGTGGAAATTCCCATTCAACAGGGCCTATTTTTTCTGTCTCTACACCAGCCGACATCTTTCCACATAGTTATCAGAGGCAAATGTTTTAGACTAAATATAGTCCATGATTAATCAAGATGGAACAAACAACATATTTTTGCAATTTTTAAACTGTTCAAAACATTCTTTGCAGTTTGCACAAATAGAATGTTCTGAATAGCTCATGAAAACTGATGGAAAGAGATTGAGATTTTGTGATTACCTCAGAACTTCACATATTGCCAGTAAAGAAAAGGAGTTCAGATTGAGTCACACCTTAACTTGGCGGTCAACAAAGTTCACAATCTGATTTTGGTAAATAGGTCAGGCTCATAATAATATTTGTATTCCACCTTGTGTCAATAACCCCAATGAGATTATACTTTTTCATATCTTTTCTAAGTCTTATTAAACAATCTATTTTCAACTCAATTTGTAGTTGTAATTAAAACAAATTTTCTTGAAGAAGAACTTGAATAAACACTCAAGCCAATTGTTATCAAGGCAAGGACGATGATCTCTTTTCCAGTCGGCAAATTGATAAAGTTAAAATAAGCAGCCTTTATCAGGATTGGATGGAGTTTATGATTTTATATTTTCACATCAAAAAGCAGCATCAAAACTGTAAAAACAGACCCAAACACCTGCTAGACCATTCCAACCAACTGAAAAAACTTGATCAAAACTACATATTTGTTATGTTAGTGGGGGGTGTATGCATTGATTTACTTAGTGTTAGGGTGTATTGAGACGAGTCTCAATGGCCTAGGTCACAGAGCACTTGGTATCTTTTAACAAATAACTATACTTTCCATTAAAAGTAGAGTTACAGTGGAATTTTAGAGCAAAGAAAGATAAGAAAAAAACTAAAAAAATATAAGCAAACGAAGTTAATAAATCATGAATTAATCATCTATTTAAAAAATTAAAAAACTAAAAGATGACATTAGATAATTTACAGAAATGATAAATCTTTGTCCAAAAAGGAGATTAAATTTTTTCACCATTCAAGTTCAAGAAAATAATCTTATAGCGTCAAAAATACAAAAGAAATTTCTCTTGCAAATGACCGTATTTGAATAATTGAAAATATTGAATATGAAACATATTTTCTTTCATAATTTATTTAATATTTCCTTAAGGGACAGGAAACATGTTACATGTTTTATGATAATGAATATGTGTAACTCATATTTAATTGGACTCAATTGCAGTGAAAAATCTTTTATACTTATACCGTATAATTGTGACTGCTATGCGCACCTTTTTCTAATTCTCCAATAATCTTAATAATTATAAGTAATATACCATTGACACTCTCTGGCACCAATGTCAAGTCAAATTGGTAATGATGAAATACCTGATTCTTATTCTTTTTTTTCTGTTAGTAGGAGAAGAAGAAATAGAAGAAGAAAAGAAAATGAATGCATTGTGTTCAAAGGCTTTAGAAGGATTTCTGTTCATTTTATCAAAGGATGGTGATATTGTGTATGTGTCTGATTCTGTTTCTAAATATCTGGGCATACAACAGGTAAATAACTGTTATCAGAAATTTTGTTGTTTTGAGAAATTTAGACGTAATTTACTGACTTCTGCTACTAAATAATATTTTTGATTATTATTACAGATTGATTTAGTTGGACAAAGTATTTATGAATTTGCCCATCCATGTGACCATGATGAGATTAAAGATATAATGTCTATTAAAACTCACAATAATAACAATGTGGAGTCTGAAACAGATGAAAGAGTATTTTTTATTAGAATGAAATGTACGTTGACCAGTAAAGGGAGGAATGTGAATCTAAAGTCTGCAAGCTATAAGGTACCGTAATTATTAAATGTTTAAAAAAAACTCAGTTTAAATCAAGTAAATTTAAAAGAATGCCTATAAATGGACTTCACAAACTACGTTTTAGAAATTTGAAAACATTTTTTTGGTTATCTACTGGGGTGAAAAAGATGACTTATGCAATGTCATATATTATGCAAGATGTTACAATGCAACCTCTGTTTTCAAGGCACATGATATTCTATAGATCATTCCACTCCGTTTTAAACATTAATTATAGTTTATGCATGTATCCATATTATACAATCAATTGCAAACTAATATTTTTTGAAAGTTCATGGATTTTTCCTAAGAGGACATACAAGTCCTTTTTTTTTTTAACTTGTAAATATTTATTCAGTATAAATAATACAATACAATGGACATGCAAGTCCTAATAATGCCTTTCTATCATATTCTGTAGGTTTTGAAGTTTACTGGCCGTTTGGTAACTAAAGATAGTCCTCATGAAAACATCAAGATGAGTGGAGCACCAACTAAAATCTATCCCTATCTACTGGCTATTGGTGAAAGCATACCCCATCCTGCTAATATTGAGATCCCTCTAGACAGTAATACTTTTCTCACTAAACATGATATGGATATGCGAGTGACATATTGCGATGAACGGTAAGTAATAAAAGTTAGATTTGTCCATTGTTGACCTTTGTGTGTAATTCACAGTTTGTTCCAAGCCTGTCTGCCAGCTAGTTTTAATATGTGACCATGACAATGATGCACAGTTTGTAGCAGGTCTGTCTTCTGACTGGTTTTAAGATGTAACCATGACAATGATGCACAGTTTGTAGCAGGTCTGTCTTCTGACTGGTTTTAAGATGTAACCATGACAATGATGCACAGTTTGTAGCAGGTCTGTCTTCTGACTGGTTTTAAGATGTAACCATGACAATGATGCACAGTTTGTAGCAGGTCTGTCTTCTGACTGGTTTTAAGATGTAACCATGACAATGATGCACAGTTTGTGCATGGTTAAAACATTAATGACAAACTAGATTGCATTCCAACAGGTGGCAGTGTTAACATAATGTGGATTATCCATAATGAATAAGTGGATAGAGAAAATATTGAATTTTAAGACAAAATCAGGACAATAATTTAATGTTATTTTTGGCTTATAAAATTATTTTATTTCAAGAGGTTATTTTGACCACAAATTAATTTGAGATACCACTTATTGAACTTATGAGTAATTCTAATAGGACAAACAACCAAAGCCATTCAGAAATCAAACCATACTTGTAATGATAGCTGTACTGAAATTTTTAAAGTTTTGTTTACTACATAGTCAAATAAATCAGGATTATAATTTGTAGAAGTGTATTTGTAAACACAGCCATTAAAATTGTTAAAAAAGTGACTTATTATGACCTGGTGTTATAATTGGCAATATGTTTCTGCCAATTTAAATTTGTTCATAGAGAATATTTCTCCTCCAGTGACGTCAGACGGTTGCAGAAAACAATTTTATTGGTTATTGAAATTGATTACAAATGACAAGCAAAGGAAATGATTTGTTATTTCTGACCACGGCATTTCAGAATCGCTCATTTCTCTATTACAGAGCTTATCCTAAAAATTGATTACCATAGTAATGGCGACATGATGATTGATTATTTTCTCAACTTTCAAATAAAATTGCTGGCAGAAATCTATTTGATGGGTTTCATGTCAAGCTATCATTAGTGAAACAATTGTTGGACAAGTTAATGATGTAACAGGTCTAAAAGATTTTAAATGCTTGTTTTCTCTAATTGATACTATTTTCATCGTGGTAATATGACGTTATTGACATATCATACAAACATTTTATGTTTTTTTCTCATCTAGATTGATATCGAAATCAATATAACTTTTCAATTTATTCCTATATTTTCGTGAAAGGAAAAAAACCAATATTGATCGTATTTTTAAAAATGAAATCATGTTTTTCAAATTATCAATATGAAATGATATCAACCATAAAAAATCAACAGACTATAGATATCTTTATCATCAATAGGATGTAACCAACAATCCTATCGGAATTAAAATCTTAGCAATGTCGGGGAAATAGGATTTACATATAATTAGCAAGAGAAAAATCAGGATCATTCAAAATGACAGTAAAAGACGTAACCAGTGTCTGTAACAAATGTAAGCTCTTTCTGACCAGGGCACTCTATAGTCTATATACCATAAAAAAAATTCATTATCAACCAAACATAGATTTTTTTAAAGAAAAAGGTGGCTGATTTGGATTAAAAGAATATCTAAGTGTTTGTTAAGTTACTTCTATAATATTATCAATAAGATATTATGATATTATGAGAGAAAGTGATAGGGAGGAAATGTGTAAGATAATGGAAAGGAAGTCATTAATGTAAAATTTAATGGAATATATCTACATATCTTTATAGTATTATATTAAACATGTTCATCTGTATTTAACGGGCCATAAATGAATTATTTTTATTTCTTAAAAAAGAATTTAAAAGTTAGTAATCACACTTTTTGATTTTCCTTTGATTTAGGATACACAAATATATTTGTTAAAAGATTTATATAGGTTATAAAATATTAATAACATGTTTTTCATTTTCATTTATTACGTTGAAGGTCATGATTTGTCTGTGTGATGAATATTTATATTTGTTAGTTGTTGATGAATATTTATATTTGTTAGTTGTTGATGAATATTTAACAAAAACAACTTTAAGGGCAAGCTTTGACTGATTCCACATATCTATAGGCCTATATCAGAAAAAAGCCAATTCCATTTCTGCAGCTAAACACCATACATGATTGCCCCTCTGGATATATTACTTGCCCCTCTACGGGGTCGGCAGAGGGTGCACCACCATTTAAATGCAGTCTTTGTGCTTGTAGGATAATGTTGAAATTTCAAACGTTTTTATCAATAATCTTTGTGAAGCAATGAAAGCATTATTGTTTTAAAGATCTTTATTGTTTTAAAGATCATTATTTTATTAAAGGTCATTATTGTTTTAAATATCATTATTTTATTAAAGGTCATTATTGTTTTAAAGAATTTGAAAATAGATGTAAAAGATAATGTACATTTTTAAAAAGGTACATGCAATGTTTATCAGCTGTCTCAGATGGTAAATATCCAAAAATGATCTCAGTCTTGTTTTAAAGGTCATTATTGTTTTAAAGGTCATTATTAAAGGTCATTATTGTTTTAAAGATCATTATTTTTTTAGAGGTCATTATTGCTTTAAAAATCATTATTTTTTTAAAGGTCATTATAATTTCAAAGATCATTATTTTGTTACAGGTCATTATTGTTCAAAAAATCATTATTTTTTCAAAGGTCATTATTGTTGTAAAGATCATTATTGTTTTAAAGAATTTGAATGTAAATGATAAAGACCATGCATATTATTAAAGGGTATATGCAATGTTTATTAGTTGTCCCAGGTGGTCCCAAAATGATTTTAACATTATGTTTTAAAGAGTTGTTAATAAGGTTATAAGATGTGGTATATACAATCTTTATTAGTTGTGCCTATACGGTACATACTCTAAATAGAAAAGATAAAACATATTATTAAGAGGTACATGCAACATCTTTAATTTGTACCAGGTGGTAAAGTTGTACTTCAAAAGATATCCTAAAATGATATCATTATTGTCTAAAAAGAAGTGACAAAATAGAGAGCATATCACAGCAAGCTTTATGCAGTTATCAGCTAGGTATAATTATTATATGTGAATGGAGATGAAAGAGCAATAGAACGTTGAATGAAGTCCAACAAGTATTTGAAAAGAAAACAAGTGAAATGTCAAAACAACCTGAACTTTATAAATTAAATATCAAACCCTATCAAATGACATGCATATTCAGATTTGAATATTGTTTGGAATCAGCGAATCAGATGTTTGGCGCCAGTATTATCTGACAGAATTCACCTTTAGCTTTGTATTATCACTCCTCTACATTAGAATATTAAATCACACATTACAGGAAGCAGTTTTTGTTGGGTTAAAGTGCAGAAGTTAAGAGAAATATTTATTTTGACGCAAGATTTAAGAGAAAGAAATAGGAAAATGTTAAGAGAAGTCTTATCAGCATGGCAGAAGATAAATAATGTTAAAACTAATATTAACTTCTTCGATTAGAGAGCTTTTCTCCTTTTTGTTTATATTGGATGTTAAAAATCATATTTTGAATCTTGTTTATTTTCATTACTGTGCAATATGTATCATATATATTGCTTTAAAAATCTCTGGCAAGGACTGGTTATTTTGGGGTCCCTGGACTTACGGGGCATATATGCTTAATCTCCCGAAACATTGTATGCACCTATGTCTTTGGTTCATAATGATTTTTACTAAGAAATAATATACTTTTTACGAAACATACTTAAGATTGTTTTGAATTCACTGTTGCTAATTTTCATTTTGAATACTTAGCTGATCTTAACAGAATATGTCTGAATGACAAGCACAAATTATTTGAAATTGGAGACCAAGATTACAGTACCTATAGTAGAAAAATGTTATTTGAATAAAAATCAGAAAAATATTGGTTAACTGTTATTATAGCAAAACATGGAGTGCCAAAATAAGTATCATTAAACCAATGCATGAATGGAGCTTTCATGTTTTTCCATATTTGATTACACCAATTGCAGTTATGCTGAGACTACAGTTCCTGAAAGTCTGAGAGAATTCCTGAAGCTGTTCCATTGGTTTTTCTTGATTTGAGTGTGTTGTAGTGTTGCTTTATTATTTTAATGCATTCAAGATCTACAAATGTTTCAAAGAAGTTTTCTATTTTCAACTTTTTGCTTTTAATGTGAATCATTTGTGACCTTGACTTGAAAACATAATTCTTGAAACAATTAGATTATACATGTATATCTCAGCAGAAACCTCATAAACATCTATCTAGTAGATAACTTCTGAGTTACAAAACACCCGAGAAATGGTATTGGTTGCAGTAATTTTTTTCTGTTTTGATATATGCCAAACAACTATGGTGGCAAGCAGATTAAAACATCTCTTAAATTGATAAGCGTCCAATGGCTTATTAAATCAGTGATTATATTTATCTTAACGTGCAGGCTAATGATATAATTTGAACATGAACCAATAAAACCTACAGTCATACATCAACCTATTTAAATATCTGACCCATTTTGTATTTTTACAACACCAAGCAGATAAAGGCTTGCACCAGTGAACCACATGCTAAATAAATTGAGTGGTAAAAAGTTTGTTGAATAAAGGGAAATGAGCTCTTAAATGTCAAGGTCATAGATTCATTGTTCACTTGACTACAAGATGTCAGACACAATAAACTAGTACATATGCTCCAATCATATGTTCCCATCATATACACTGATCATATTCAAATATAGGTCGATTTTGCTATGTTACACCTAGGCCTCTATGAAATGGATTGTGAAGAGGTTTATCAATTTTGTATGTGTATCAAGGTCACTGACTCCATCAATTTCCGGGTTTTGATATTGCACTCAAGTAAAGCTTAACGGCCTCACTTTTGCCAATTTTGCTAATAATTTATAAGCAGCTTTTGCAATAGTGATGTTATATTACGATTTAATATTTCTGACAGAAACCACAGACATCTGACAGAGAAGTGGAATGATGCAAAAGAAGTCATTAATGGATTTGATACACATACAAAATTTAGAATACCTCTTGACAATCTTTTAAATGAATTGGAGGTTTTAAGTTATTTGATTTTACTCTTGCAGCTTTCCAATATTTCAATATTTTCAAGTTTAACTATAACCCAAAGACAATGTGAGATGTTTAATTATTAGCATTGATGTAACAATCAAAAAATGGGTCACTTGTGTTAATGCTACATATTCATATCATTGACAGTTTATATTCTGTATTTTCAAAAACCTATATACCTATATGCCTATATGGGGTTTTCACATATGATTTTTATGCTTTGAACAGAGTAAATGTATTTTATTTTTCTCATATCTAAATAGATCCATGTCAACCACTGCAAGTTATTCTTTATAAAAATAAAATGATTATTATTACTATTGGATAGTTTTCCTTGCTAATTGTAGCCCAATGTAGATGAAATGAAAAATAAAATTGCTATATATTTCATGCTTGTATTATTTTAGAGTAAAGGAACTGGTAGGATATAATTGTGAAGAATTAATGGGACAGTCAATGTATAATTATCATCATGCATTAGATAGCCATGTTGTAGAGAAAGCTTTTAAAGACTGTAAGTATTGTAATCTGCTGGTATTTGATCTGGTCTGAGATCTGTGTGTTCCTGAAAGGTCAGAAGACAAACTTATACCAAATTTAGGGATGTCAAAGTCACTAACAGTGATGAAAATTGTTAACTATCAATGCTATCCAATGGCATTTATACCAACAGGTCATGGCTGACACGGAGCTCGCATATTTGTACATAAAATATTTTCCAGTTGTTTACAGTTTTACAGTTGTGAATGATGTCCTTGTTTATTACTACTTATAATTCCTGTGCCAGGATTGAAGAATATCTTCTTGAATAATTAACTCTCAAACTGTGTAAACATCAATACTTCTGTCTAACGTTGGGTTAGAACACTGTCTGTTTGTTACAGTGAAATTGCAAGTTCAAGTTTAATTGTAGTCTGCTAGATGATAAGATGCCAAGGAATTGAATTATCATCAAGGTCAAAATTCTGATGCTACAACCTGTACATACAAAAGTGAGCTTGGCGTCAGCTTTCCACTCCTATCTCCTATAGATATAAGTATTTTTTGAAACTTATTTTGTTTTATTATGTATTTTTCAGTGTTTGCTAAAGGCCAGACTATGACTGGACAGTACAGAATGTTGGCTAAGAATGGTGGTTATGTTTGGGTGGTAACACAAGGAACTATCATCTATAATAGTAGAACTCAAAAACCACAGTGGGTTGTATGTGTTCATTATGTTCTTAGGTATGTTTTAAGTTCTGTTTTTTGTTGAAGTTTCAATAAAACCTCATGACAGCCATGGCCTGCACTTGTATATTTCTGCATTAGACTTTATACTCCTCAAAATTGAAGAGCATGCATTTATTGCAATTAAGGACAAAAGTTTCTTACTTTGTTCTATCTACTGTTCATATCTTGTTTAGAATTAAGGGGAGTAAACCAAATCAGTTTTGAATGAAATATGATTAAAACAAACTTAAAGATATGCACTTGAATAAATATGGTTGAAATCTTATGAAAATATTATGTATAAATGTTATCTTCTCTTGCAGTAAAGTGGAGAACAAAGAGGCCATTTTGTCAGAAGTTCAATTACCTAAAGCAGAAGACCTTCTAGAACCATTTCGATTTGAACTCAGTACTGATAAGATCTTTGCTCCTAAAACTAAGGCAGATGTTGAGCCTAAGTATTTCGTTCCACCAGAGCTTAAAAACTGTAAGATAATTATATATTGTTGTCTACTCCAATCAATGTAACTTATTTCAATTGACAGTTTCACCAAGTGAACTTATTACTAGCTATTACTAGCAATGTGTTTATACAATAACATCATTGTACCAGATAAACAAATTCCTTTTTTAAGTGCAATAGTCCTACCACTCCTTACAATAGCAGCAAACACTTTTAAAAAAAAAAAAATTTTATAGTGTGACGGACATATCCATTGATGGAATTATTTGATGTTATACTAGCTTATTTATTGTCCATATACCAGTATACGTGCACAACACAAAAAATACACGTAATCAGAAAGTTACAAATGTAGTGTTATACAATGGATCAGTCTATGCTCACTCAAAGAGGAATCACAAATATTATTGTGAAAAGCTCATGATTTTGGACCTTGGCTCATGAACTTCTAATCTAGAGAAAAAATCTACTATATAGTATATGTAGTACATTTCATAAATTAGAAATATTGAGAAAATGAATAAAAAATTCAGGACAACAACGTTCACATGCCCATGGCAGTTGTTTATTGTGATGTTTTTGGACAGGTACAATCCACTTTATTTAAAGGTAGTCAGAGTACTAATAGATGGACCTGATCTTCATCATTCAAGTATAAATAGTCTACAAACAAAATAGACTGTTATAGATTAGATAGGCTTCTCTTGATAACTTTGATTATTTATCAACTATAACAGATAAGTTATGTATTTCAGTTAATGATAATGAACCTGAAGATTTGACCCATCTTGCCCCGATGCCTAGTGGTGCTTGTACACTAGGTTCCCATATTGAAAGTACTATACCCTTCTTGATTGAGATGAAAGAAGAACCAGGCTCCAGGTCTATGTGTCTACAGAAACCAATGTACCAGTTCAGTAGTGCCAGTACATCTCCTGCTTCTATGTCACCAAGAGTAAGCAATTCTTTAAGTTTAGTAGTAAAATCTGCAGCAAGTAGAATTTTCATTCTCAATTTATTTTCAGATAATTTTATACTAATTTTTTTCCGAAGGTTTGTGTAGATTCATATATCATGTAAATTCAAAGCTACATAAGTAAATTCTCTTGACACTGAGCACGCTTAGCTAGCAATACTGTTAATACCTCAGACTACTAAATTTCGATAATTATATTTATAGGTAGCCAGTCCAGAAGACTATAGGAACGTTGAGACACATTTGGATGCTGACATGATGCAAAAATTCTTCAGCATGAGAACTGATGGCAGCCCCATGGTATGTTATTTTATTTTATTATTTCCTGTTCTTTCGAGGTGTCTGTAGGGACCAAATTTATTGTTAATTGGGTAGCACAGTGATGACAAATGAAATGCACAAATGTGCAGAAATAAGTTGTTTTGTGAATAGACTCAGCCCTGTCGTTAGGGTGAAATCCAAGGGAGCTGGCCCCTAGCAAGTGAGAAATAAGCCCCAGCAAAATTTTCTTCAGTTCAGCAGAGATTTACAGTGTCTTTGTACAAAATCAAAAAGATGTAGATTTAGATACGTTTTTGACTCCTCAAAATTGTCAGAAATGAATTCTCTTGGCCTTTAATTCTTCAAATTTGGGCCCCCTACACCAATTTATTCCTGGCAATGGGGCTAGAAAGACTGCAGAGGATTATTAAAATGATTTGGATCTTGTTTTTCAGATGAGAAGTCCTGATAATTTCAAATCTTTGTCCAGTCCAACATTGTTCGCAGATTCAACCAAGAATTATGATTCAGACAGTTCTAGAACACCTGATGTAAGTTCTTTCTGAATTTGATTATGAATTTTTCAAAAAATGGTATCTGAACAGTCTGTTTTTGCGATACATACTTGTTCTGAGGATAAGCAATTGAATATATGACATCTATCTGATGAGATTTTTCTGTATGAAATGATATACCATATACAACAGCCTTTATGGAGTGCTAATATACACTCCTCACTGATACTTACAGCTATAATACCTCTTCAATCCTTTTCAGTTGTTGCCCATGAGTCCATTCATTTTAAAGATCAGTTTTTTTGAAATATTGTCAGTAATAGTAATATCCAGATATGTTTTCAGTGTTGCCCTATATACATGTAAGATTAAAATTTGTATTGTAGTTGATTGATATGAATGAAAGATCACCATTTATACCAATGAGTAGACAATCAGACCATTCTCTAGCACCAGCTTCAACTTCAGAACTTCTGAAACTCAATAATGATTTTAATCCTGGGTATGTTTATTCTTAGAAACGTCAAATTATATTTATGCTGTTTCAATAACAGTTTAGTCATTCTAAAAATACAAACCATGTGGGGCTTCAGTAGGACAATTGGTAGGACAAATAATGCAATATAGTGATATGTGGCATATCTCACATCATGATGTACCTACTGATATCAGTGATGTCATAGATGATCTATTCTATACATATAGCTGCAGCAGTTCAATAACCTTAATAAATAAAGGAAAGCAGAAGAATTGACAGTGGCATTAAGGAGATGATTTATTGTTGTGGGTATTCTCAGGGATGGACAACACATCGTAATACCTTCCTTATTTGCCTTTTAGACATGAAGACCACACAATACATATCAATGTCCAAAAATGTCAGATTTTACATCTATAATTACAGATTATTCGGTCGTACAGAAAGTGTGTTCATGCCCAAGGAAGCCATATTTGAAGTTCCTCCCCAGCCTCGTATTCGACCTAACTTTCGTGATTTGATGGGAGAAAGTACAAGTATGGCCAGTATTGAAAGGGCACCAAGTATGTTACCAGTACAAGTTAAAAGACCAAGAGATATGAATAGTCTGGAGAAAGGACCACCTATAAGTAAACGAATGCGAAGTGACCAAATGGAGAGTAGGAATCCAGTATTAGGTCAGTTGGGCTATAATAATTGTGAGTTTTATGTTAGGTACTAAGCATGGTGTAGCTTAGCTAGTAGTGAGCATGTCTTAGAAACAGTCTGACCAAATATGATAAAATGGTTCATTTAAGATGAATAATGAAATTACAACACCACCATTATTACCTTGTGGAGCCTCTGGTGATACTAATCTGACATTAAGGTCACATCTGGTGCATGTTTTCTGTTTAGCGATGAAGAATATCCCAGAATACAATGCTGAAAATATACAAAACGTCTGCTTGTATGAGTATACTCTTTTGCTTTTCTACTTCTTGAAGCTCTGATTGTTCTTGCTGTTCTAAACTCTCCTCTTGTTCTATCATGATTATAATCCAAGTGTTCTTTAAAGGGACAGCTGCTACATTCTATTTGACCAATCATACTTTAGTCTCAGAAACAGGACTTTTACAGCTATCCTAATGTTCACAACTCACCGTCGAAATTTGAACATTCAAATCCATGTTTGTCCAGAATTATCCTTGTTTGAATGTTAAAATGACAACTCATCATTTTAAGATACTCTGTGATATATAGAAAAGACATATAGAAATTGAGGGTAAAATTCCTAGTATGAAATATTTTTGAAGGAATTATACTATTTTCATATATTTCTGGTACTTCTGAAGACTATTTACATATTTCAAATCAAATCAACCCCCCAAAATCGAGCATCTGTCCCTTTAAGGTGGCTTTTGATCAATTTTGAATGCTTCATTATTGTACCATTATAGCACTTCAGCAAGATTGATTATGGTTACTTGATAATGCTTTTGCACTGTACTTCAACAATGTTGTATTTTTCTAGGGATTGACTACAACAATCAAGATTGTGGTGTTTTATTAAATTTATTAATTTCTGGTGAAGACAAATCAAATGGTTATAAAGTGAAAACTCCATATCAAGATTTCCTTAGCAAATCACCTGTAAGTTTGTAATTTCATATTACTTGAGCATTTAGGCAAGGTTCATGACTGAATTAATATTATAAAACTATACATGCCAGAGCATGTGTTCTTTTTCATATATACTATATACATCAATTCTCCTGCCATATAGTGTGCAAAGAGGGTCATTTTGTCGAGGGATCTTTAAAGTTCACAGCCTGTAGCACACAGGGCCTCGGTTTATTGTCTCATACGAACGACTAGATGCTTTTTCCATTTCCACCCCTCACTTACAGGGGGATTGAATCCTGGACCTTCAGGTTTGGGAACAAGTGTGAACTCACTGAATCACTGCAGCTCCCAAGATTATATATTGAACACAAAATGACAAACGCATTGAAAGGGAAATAACTCTATTTTTACTAAAGTCAGATGTAGAATTTCAGTTGAATTTTTAAAATCTTTTGTAGGGTTTTCTGACTACAGCAAGATCATTATCATCATTATCAACTATACTGCCATGTCTGACTCAACAAGACTATGAAGTCAATGCACCAACTCAAAATTCTAATCTGTTACACGGACAAGATCTTTTTGATGCCTTGGATGTTGAAATTCCTGATTTTAGAAACAGACCAACATGATCATCTGGGAACCAAACTACATTGAGAGAATTTGTCAATTTCATGAAATTTATTTTGTTGGAGGGATAACTTGATATTAGTTATTGTATATGTTTATTGTAAAAGGGATCTTAACAAAATGTTTTGAATTGTATATCTTATATTGCATTACATGTATACATTATAATATTGTAACATCAGATTGTTTATGATGTTGTTGATGTTGTTTTGACAATTTTATTCTATCTTGACCAGAACTATTTTAAAGAAAATCTGGAGAAGTTTCAAAGCAGACGACTAAAATCTGTTGTTTTGAATTATAAATGGATGAGATGTTTGTTATCAAGAATTGTTAAGTTTGTACTGCCGAGAATTTTAGAGGTGGCTTAGTGAAGCTAGTGGTTTGTGATATTGAAATTATATATGATACGTTACGCAATTTGAATAATTAAATCTTATATTTTGAGAATGGAATTGTCTTTTAATTTGATTGAAATTGTTTTTAATGTCCAACTAAATGAATTTAGATTAGTGCCTTTGTTTTCTCCATTTTCAAATACAGATAACAATTGTCATAATACTGTAGTTGTTAAAATCGAAACATTATCTTACAAATTTGGAAAACAGGTTTTGAATTTTGAATTTTTTTTTAACCAGTCATTTCAAATAGTCATAGTAATATTATTTCAAAGTAGGTGAAAAAATCATGCATATAGTTTTGAATTTTGAATTTTTTTTTAACCAGTCATTTCAAATAGTCATAGTAATATTATTTCAAAGTAGGTGAAAAAATCATGCATATAGTCAAGTTTATCAGGTTTACTGAATTTGTTCATAAAATTTCATAACTCATTTTACATTTTTGATTCCATCATGTTTTTAAAGTATTTTAAAATTTTGGATTGAAGTGATGACAATATACTATTTCTATTTTTATACGTTATTGAATTTTGATTTGAAATTTTTGGAGCCATTGCTTTTTGAGATTGCTGTGAAAGTGTGGTTTTGATATAGAAAAATGGGCCTACTGTGAAGAAAATTAGAAATAGAACAGTCAAATTTGTATCTGACATAGTATACAATGTTATATTATTGATAAATTAACTAACCCGGTGCTCATGTTTTGCTTCTTTAAATTACACTTTAAAGAAAATGTACATTAGAATGTTGTAAATAGAATATATTATCTTTGTTTCAGCCATGTCAAACTATTATTCATTTATTATTGTTTATGTAGTGACATTATATATTCTTAAAATGACTTAATATCGTGTATAGTTCTCTAAACCCTGATATTCTAAATAGTAGAATAATAAAATAATAACTACATTGTATTGTAGAGCATGATATATTAAATATTATTACTGCATTATATTGGTCTACCACAGTATTGTAGAGCATAATAATGATTTTAAAACTATAATGTAGAGTATAATCTATGTCTATAATAATAATGGTCTCTAAAGTATTATTGTAGAAAAATAATGGTATAAGTCATTATTGTAGGGCGTGATATTTTTCTATAATAATAATATTGGTCGCTACTGTAGAAAAATAATGGTACAGGTCATTTTGTAGGGCATGCTATTTTTCTATAATAAGAATAATGGTCACTATTGTAGATAAAATAATGGTCAAGTCATTATTGTAGAGCATGATATATTCCTATGGTAATAATGGTCTCTGAAGTCATACATAATGATAATCTTATTACTCTACCTTTCTCTAAATTGCAGGAACCACTTTTGACCATGATTATCTTTGAAAATTTATATTCATGATATGAATTTTGCATTATATGAATAATAGACACATGTTTTTATTTATTATTATTATTAATCCACCTGGTTTAATAAGCAATAAAAAATAACCCAAATAATGATAATTTAGCAATCCTAGTCCCATAGTGACTTCAGGTGTTTCAATGAAATACTTTAATTAAATTTAAATGATTGTTAATTAACTTTATCAAGAACATACATTGTAAATATAAAGTCAAAAGTTAAGTCACATATATAAGAGCATTTTAATTTCATAGTGTTATGAAAGCACTTAACACACAAATATTAGATAATATATATTAATCAACAATTGATATCAAGTTCTGTTAGAGAACAATATTATATATTGTAGGTCATATACCAACTATATATATATATATACATCATTCCAATCTATTCTTTCATTTCAATTTTACAATCCCATATTCATATATCATATCAAACGCTATCCATGTACTTACTATACAATATACAACATACCAAACACTAGCAATACTTACTATACAATATACCAAACACTACCCATACTTACTATATAATATACAACATACTAAACACTATCAATACTTACTATACAATATACCAAACACTACCCATACTTACTATATAATATACAACATACCAAACACTACCCATACTTACTATACAATATACCAAACGCTACCCATACTTACTATATAATATACAACATACCAAACACTATCAATACTTAATTTACAATATACCAAACACTACCCATACTTGCTATATAATATACAACATACCAAACACTATCAATACTCCTTGAATGACATTTAGAAGTAGATAGAACATTATATAAATAAAACACTATTATGGATATACTACTCCTCTTTAAGCAACGTTTCAATTCGCAAACAGGAATCTTTTTCAAGCAATATATACTTACCATACAATACCAACTATATATATACAACATACCAAACACTAGCAATACTTACTATACAATATACAACATACCATACAATCAATATTTATCAATACACTATCAATACTTTCTATTTTAAATACAACTTGCCAAACACCATCCATGCTTTATACAATTATACAATACCAACTATCTTCATGGACAGAAATATGCTCTCGATTGTAAAATATTAAACGACAAATGGTTATTTCAACAATCTAAATAAACTAAAACTAATGGCATATTTAGGTCTTGTTAAGAATCTGTTTCATTGTAACAATATCAATAAATGTTTCTTATATTAGCATTTTCTTATACAGAATCGATATAAATCTCCTTAACTGTCAGAAAGATTGATTTTAGACATTAGTATTTATCACTGATTATTACGACTTCTTAGATACCAGTAACAGTTATATTACTTCCTTGCTCAAAACATTCCGAAAAAAACATTCTTTTCAAATCAATTATCAAATTAACACTTAAGTTTAAAAAAAAGTCGTCAAACAATCTTAAATGAAATTCATTTTGTAGTTTTGCTTAATCAGTACAGGAATAAAAAACTTTACGTCAATGGTTTAAATTTTTAAATCCTTTCTTTGTCAGTGAATTAATAATGTTTTTCTCAATACCATTAATTCGTAATGGGGTTAATTTAAATTATAAACGAAATTTCTTATTGTAAGGAATAGCTAGAAATCGTGTAGCCTTTACTGTGTGTTTAAAAAAGATTGGATTATTTTTTTAACTAATCAAGTTTCTTCAAGAATGGATTAAATAGTCACTAATCCTTACTAAGTCGCCGAGTCGTACTAATCTTATTTCCCATAGGGCTATAGGCTATATAGACAAATATGGTGGATATATTGCACCTAGCAACAATAAACATTAGCTTAAAGAACCTCTATAGCTCTCATATGTCAACATGTCAATGTCTTAACAATATAGTCGACGTTGTCCTAAATGAATTAGGAAAGAATACATAATTATGCAATTTAAAGGATTTATTCACAGCATATGGTATATATGAAACCTACAATATGAAAGGTAAGTTATTTAATTGAATAAATATATGAAATTGAAACAAAATATCAATATGCTTCTTAGTAGGTCTGTGTTATTTTCTTTTAACTCTTAAAGCCTGAAACAACATAAGGCAAAATAGAAATCAAGTGTCACCTATATCTGTGCACTTTATTGTTAAGCTATCGTTTCTTTTTTCTTTTAATACACACAATCATGTGCTAAATATCAATTTATCAAACTGTAAAAAGCCATTTGCCACTTCATTTCACTTATTATTCAATATGTCAATGTATCAAATGTAATTCTTTATAACATATAAGACGACAAAATATATAATTCATAATTTTTAATATACTGTGGTATTAGGTCTAATATTCAGATATAAAATATTGCTATGTACTAAATTACTATAGGTATATCATGTTAACACAGGTATTTTCAATCAGTCTTTTGTATGTAACACGACCCCTTTTTTTATTTCATTACAATAGAGCTAGTATACGCTTATTAGTTATATTGTTTGAAACTACATGGAAATCTTGCTAAATTAGAAACAGCCAAATCCTAAAGAAACATACTCATGAAACTAAAAGAATCACATTAAAATTTCCCATCGCGAACTCAGGCGTTCACAGGATTTCGTGAGAGGAAATTTTAATAGTAGAAGTGAAATCAAAATAGATGCGAGTAAAGATCCACCCACGAAACTACAAAGATCTACCCATGAGGTGCATCGACAGCTCTACACATGATACTAAAAATAGATGTAGGCCTATCAAAATATCTACCCATGAAACCAAAATAAAGGCATCAAAAAACTAAAGCGTCAAAAGATATATCCATGAAACTAAAACAAAATTTATCCATGAAAGTAAAAGAGTTGAATCAACAGATATACCCTTGAAACAAAACAAAAGCATCAACAGATCTGTCAAGGAAACTAAAACAAAAGTAACAAAAGATCTATCCATGAAACTAAAAGAGGTGTACCAACAGATATACCCGCTGAACAAAACAAAAGCATTAACAGATCTGTCAAGGAAACTAAAACAAACGTAACAAAAGATCTATCCATGAAACTAAAAGAGGTGTACCAACAGATATACCCGCTGAACAAAACAAAAGCATTAACAGATCTATCCATGAAACAAAAACAAAAAAAAATCAACAGTTAAACTCGTGAAACTAAAACAAAAGTAGGCCTACCAATCAAAATATCTACATGAAAGTAGGCCTAATAGAGATGCATCAATAGTTCTATAAAACTAAAACAAAGGCATCAGAAGCTATACCCTTGAAACTGAAACAGATGCGCCCATTTGTCTATTCACGAAACTAAAAGAATGTGTCTAATGCTCTACCCATGAAACCAATGAAACTAAAAACCTTTACCCACGAAAGTAAAAATAAAGTGTATCAAAAACTCTATCAAAAAACCAACCCATGAAACTAAAGGACCACTTCATCAATGAGGAAAATCTTTTACCCATGAAACAGAGAACATTGATCTAAACCTCCACCAAAGATAGATAAAGGTTTAAAACCCATGAAAGATATAAATTCCTCATACACTCCACAAGTTAATTCTTTCACAATTGCTTGAGATCACACATTATAAGAAATTATCTAGTTCACACAAATGTGTTGATAATGCTCAAGAACAAATGTTTTAAAATGGAATTAACATCGATAATAATACTTCGATCAATTTTTTGTCAAGTTTAAATCTGCTACTTTATCCAAGTGGCTATAAGGTTAGATGAAGAAAAGGTATTTTAAATAAGGTTTAAATTCATGTCACGATACGATTATTTTATTGTTTAATGAACCCTTAGATATAACTTAGGAGTAAATCTAAAATAGGATTATATTTATATATGACATTAGTAAATGAGTGTTTATGTCTACACCAGATATTCTGTGTTTTGAAATGAGCTGGTGGAAAATGATCACGTCGTATGAATATCATCAGAATCTTTCAGTCAAGGAATGGTTACGGAAAGGTATATAATGAATTGAACGATTAATTAGGAGTTCTAAAGAGTCTTCCTTCAAATTGGAAGTAATTGTTTGAAAACTAAGTTATCTATTTTTCTTTTAGCTTTAGAGATAACTCCAGAGAATTTGGAAGATCTTCTAACCTATGATGATCTGTTCTTGGACTACTTCAATGCTTTCCTGGCCTTACCAGTGTTCCCTCAAGCTTTGGCTTACGACAGACTGACTGGTGCCTTTGAAGAGGTATCATCACCATACAACACTACTGCGTCTGATTCTATGGGATATGTATCACCATCACCACCATTACCTTATGGTGCTACAGACACAGTCAGAGAAAACATGTTACAGTGGGCTAGAGAGGAACGACTTCCTTTATTTATGAGGTATGTAACAGCAGGTCATTAACCTAATAATGGTTACTGCTAATTCAAGGAGAACTCAAAAGTAAAAGATTATCATATATTTAGATGTATTTTCACTGTCAAAACGCCATACACTGAATGGAATCTAGAATGTCAATAACTGTCTGTTAGTTTCCTGAAAAAACCGTAAAGTCGACAAAAAGAGTTTAAATGGTGAATCACAAAAAGTATGATAACGTTACTGAGTCACAAGACCTCTACAACATCCGAAATCATTCAACATCGTGATTCTATTTATTTTCAGCACTCAACTATTCAGGGAATTGAAATTATGTAAATTATTACTTCGAGCATTAGATGATAGGAATTCTGCTAGTCGTGGGTCGAGTCGTCAGATAAGAGGGTACAGCAGGGAATCGGAGAGTTTTATATCTAGTCTTAGTATTAGTGGTGATAATAGTGCTGAAGACGATCTCCTCGAAGACCATGGTAACTGGAATGATCTTCGTGAATTGTTTAAATATCAGCGACCAGGTAGTAAGGCACTAAGTGATCCCATCAAAGGCTACCTTTGTAAGTATAAGATTTTTAATGCGACTGATTCAAGAAATTCTGTTTTGGTTTCGTGTTGTTGTTGTTGATGGCGATTGTCAGATACCACCAAAAGTAATTCAATGGATTTGCCAACAGTGGCATTTCTGATGAACCATAAGGTGAGGGCCAAAGAAATCAAAACAAAGTTCAAATCTTATTCCAAACCCTGAGCATGACCTTGGAAACAAGGTCACAGTGTTTCTCTCGAAGGTATCATTGTGTCTGTATTTATTGTATAGGTATACCTTTCTTTCTGTTTCAGTCAGAAATCAAGGACAGCAGTCGTTACCTACCACTTCTTTTGAAAGTTCCTCCAAAAATAGATCTTCTGATAGATTTGCTTCTGGACGATTTGACCATGTCAGAAGTCCAACAGGAATGGTGATGGAAAGAGAGAGGACAATTACTGGTTCTCCAAGCACTGTTAAAAGAGCAGCAAGGTATGGTGCAGACTTTTTTAATTTTGCAAGTTAAAATAAAAATGATTGAAGAAATGTAAAACGTGTTACTTTCAGGTTTGGTGCTGGTTGCATCATGATACTCTCTTTGGCAGGCATACGACATAGAATTTGTCCATTGAGTTGCAGGAACACAAGAAAGTACAAATTATATTTATTGTCACCTCAACTCTAAGTTAGCTTTCCTAATATTGAACAAGAAACAATATAATAATCTTTATTAATGATATTTTCAGAATCTCATCACAAGTAGAAGTTATTCCATCAGAGGGATTATTATTGGAGAAATCTGAGAAAGGTAAATGCTTTTCTCTATGATGGATACTAATATCAATATTGTTAAATGAATTTTAGAAATTTTTTTCATAGAGTCCTAGTTTACACTCAATGTCAGTTTTTTGTAGGTTTGAACCAGGAGGGTTTTGAGCACATATACTTTTCTTTTTTTTAGATCGCAAAAGTTTCTCTTCGAAGAAAACCAAACCCAAACCCCCTACATCATCTACAGAGGCTGCTTTTCTTAGAGGATCACGGTACGATAATGGTCTTTACTTGCTATATTTATTCTAATAGAGAATCTGCTTGAAAAACTCCAATAATATTTCATCTTAAAACATATTTTTTAATTCAGAAGATCTGTTCATGGTCTAATAATGTAGAACAGAAGATTTCAGTTAACAGGTTTTTGATTTCTAAATTTATAAAAGAAATTTCAATGTATTTTATAGGGTATTATCAGCACCAGTCAACTATGCAGAATATTTCAAAATACCATTCTTCCATTTTGATGCGTTATTACGTGAAACACCTGTCCCTACTGGTGAACCATTTGTAACCTTTGAAGATGATTTAGTTAGTGAAGCTCAAACAGAAACTGATGTCAGAAATTTAGAAGGCAGATTAAAAATGACATTTCAACAGATGAAAGAACAAGTTATTGGCACTGTGAGTATTGGAACCAAATATTTAAATTTGATATGAATATGGAACATGCAAATGAGCTGGCCATTGGTGGGCCAATACTTATTTCAATTAATGTTCTGCTTTTTGGGTCCAAAATTTGAATTGCTGAAAACACAGGTGGTGAATTTGAGGAAGACTCAAATCTCTTAGAAATATTTTCTGCTTTATTTTTGTGCCTGGTTCAACAAAATGGTTTCTAGGTATCATTGGTCAAAATAAATAGAACAATAGTAGGGGTATAGTCTAGGGAACACCTGGAGTTCCCCACTTTAGAAGCAACTGTTTTCCAGTATCATGGCTCTGCAAATTTTGGAAAAGAACCCATAAATATATTCTTTTCTAGTAAATATTATTTATTGTCATGGTTTGGCAAGATGGTATAACAAAAATATAGACAATTCCTAAATGCTCATTTCTTAATATGTTTTAGTATGTGGGTATGGAATCATTTAAAGAGTTTTTAAACGACACTACTGGTGTACATCTATTAAATTTCTGGTTAGATTGTGAATATTTTAAAGATTCTATGGAAGATTATGATGAAGAAGTATTTATTGAAACTAGAAACTGTCTCTTCAGGTGAAATCTTAATTTTCGGTTTCTTTTGATACCATTTGGTTTCTTTTGATAAGTTTATGAATATGAATTCAGCAATTAATTTAACTACCATTTCTAAAACACTTTGAAGAAGATGAAATCAGAACTTCTATTTGGATTGAAATCATGCCTGTTTTATCTGAAATAATTTGGTTTAATTTAACTTACTCAAATCTTTTAGACAAAAAAATCATAGTACCAGTATTATGGTCAGAACACACTCTAAACATGTCATGTTTCTTACGCTTCTTGATATCCACAAAAATATGATTAATAAGATAACTGGTAATGCTATTACATCATATGTTGATTAATTCAAATCTTATATTCAGGGATATACAGGATAAATATAAACTGAATCTCACTAATGATGCTAAAGAACAAATAACCCGAGCTGCAAGTAATGTTGGTTTAACACATACAATATTTCTTCGAACTCAGTATGATGTCTTGCGACGTCTGAGAGCTTACTGGATAGCCAGATTTCTTATGCATTTTGAAAGACAGAAGCCTTTAAGGTTAGTGTTGGTTGTTGATTTTTTCGTAATTTCATGTCAATGCCAATTGCAAGTGACTGCAGATGGAAAAATCTCATGTCTGTATGATTTGAAGTGAGACTTTTATGAAATTAAAACTTTTTAACTAGTATCTCCAATCAACTAGATCAGTGCAGATTACATTGTACTCATGTCGTACTCAGATGCTGCCAGTTACTAGCAGTCCTGTCTGTCTGTGGCAATGATGAGAAATATGTTTTCAAATATTATACATTTTATAGTGAGGATGAAGAAAGAGCCATGGTTCAGTTTAAATTGAAGAAACCAGAACCCAAAAATAGTTTGCCATTTTTCCCTTCCATATCATTAGTACATTCAATGCCTGTGTGGCCAGAAGAAGCGTTAAATCTGTCTCGTATCTCTACGTGGGATCAAGTAACTAGTCGTAACATGAATAGAGATATCAAATCAGCTCGATATAGCAGAACAGCAACATCTAGGTAAGCTTAATAAAGGTGTAGGCAAACAAGTGGTCTTTGTCAGAGACTTGTGTCGCTGTTTAGAGTCTTGTCTTGAGTTTCAACGACTGGCATGGGCACACTAAGAGATAAAAATCTGGTCGTTGTCGATAATCACGTGCAGAGCATGCAATTGAAAGGAAAATGGATATGATTGGATGATGACGGTCTGTCTTTCAGATGATAAACTATCAGAGACAATTATATTATAAATCCTGTTGGCCATATGCTTATGGCATTCAACATAGAAAGTTACAAAAGAAAAATCCCTAAGACGGATGAAGCCTAAGAAGACTAATTCAGTCACATTGTGGTGTTAATATTATTCACAATGTGAGTGTAGAGATTCCATATTGAAACTGTTAACAGTATGTGTTCCTTGTGTTGTCAAACAGAATTTTCAGGAATTAGCATTTCTATTGTTCATTTCAGATCAACAAAAGAAAGATTAATTTTAGCTCTAAGTACAGATAAACTAGCTGGTGGACCTTTTGCTACTTATCTTGAAGAGTAAGCAAAGATTCCGTATTAATAATGGTTAAATCACAATACATGCAATGTGTATAAAATGCAATTTATTTTCAGAAGATCATTAGAAACATCCTCTTATCTGTTTGACCCATTATTTGTGAATTCAAACAGCAAAAAGAATATTCTAGAAGAAATTAAGACATGAGCAATACCTGATTTGTTGTTATGGTTAGGATATTGTATAATAGTGGTTGTGGACTCTAACCTTGGTCAGGGTGTGAAAGTCTGGTGATTTTGATTAAGTTATTTTTTCTTATAGTTCCAGTAGTAAATATGTACAAATAATTCAGGAAAGATAAATGCCAATATATTTTGGCCAAGAACCAGCTGGTCAATAGGATTCTTGTGAAGTTGTTTTCATTGTAAAAATCATTGCTTCCCTTTAGTGGAGACGGAACTAAGTTGGATGTATTAGACACTATATAAAGATGCAGATATTAATAATATATGATTTCAGTTTGCGATATCAGCATCAGCTGGAAGGGAACGTTAACTTGTCATCTACCAACCAACCAACCAACCAATATTACATGAATATGACCTACACTGACAATATTTTTCAATTTGAATGTGTTTGTTTTTTACAGTAATGATGAAAATAATACAGTATCTAATCTATTGTTTTGGCAAGATGTAAGAGAATATGGAGCTAGTGAAGATAAATCTGCTGATAGATTATTACGATTAAGACATGCTTGGTCTATATATAATAATTATATCTCACAAGATAGTCCACACAATATAGGTATGGCCAGTTGTAATTTTTAGATGGAATTTAAAGGGAGAGTTGCACCATTATGGGGGTTTATTTAAGTCTTCAGAAGTAGTAGAAATGTACGAACATTGCATAATTCCTTCAAAATATATCTCGAACTAAGAATTTCACTTTCTATTTCAACCGATGTCTTTTTTTTTATATGCGAGTGTCTTAAAAAAAAAAAAATGTATGACTTGCACTCGATGGCACACTCTTGCCTTTAAAGTTGCCATATGAAAATTAGTGCCTGAAACCCTATCTGATACTACACATATTTTCTTCTTGGAACCAGGTGTCAGTAGAGTTTTGAAATAAGGTCAGAGTATCTCAAACTTCAAGAAGGAAAGGTAGAGATAAGGAATTAGTTATTTTGGTAGAATTGGCAGTGAAAACAAAAATCAAATTTTCTAGTAAAAATCTGTATTAACTTAAAAGCCAAAATAAGGGCAACAAAGAAATTTCTGGAAGCATGTAAGAGGACATCCAAAAGAAACTGGTTTATCCCATTGTTGATCTAAATATTCTGATCTGCACTTTTGCTTTAGCTTAGTCTATAGAATCACAATATTTTTCTTTAATTTAGATGTAGCTGAAGCAGATATAAATATACTTTACCAAAAACTAGCATCTTCCCAAGATTTTATAGAAGCATCGGTGTTTGATACAATAAAAGACAATACTATCGGTAAACTTGAGAAAGCCTGGATAAGATTTCTTAAAGATGACCTGAAGATCTTTCTAGAGTAAGTTTAATAGTTAGATAATTCAGCAATTATTATATAGAAATATGTTTCACATTCTTTCATTATCTTAAGCTTTTCAGTACTATTGTCAGTTAGATAGATTCTTTGTTTGGTTTGGGCTCCAGCGTCCTTATGACCAAACACAATTGCTAAGATTTTATTTGAGTATTCTTGGAATCCTGTATTAGTCAGAGCGGTGTCTTTAATCCTCCCACAGCCTCCTACTACTCTGAAATTTTGTCGAACATCACAGTCAGATAGTTGATTACACAAAGCAGCAAATCTAAGTTCT